TCACTGATTAGAAAACAGTGGAAAAACAGCTAACAGAGGAAACCCCATCTTTCCTAAGAGGTAACCCTTAGGGATCAAAGGTCTTGATCCCTTTCATCTTTCCAGTGAGGAGACTGCATTTTATTTACTCACTGACTACTGAGTCAAGTCATTATTCCATTATACCATTCACACCTATTTTCTGATCTTCTGACATCACCATGCATTTCTGTTACTGTACCTGGCACTACAGACAAGAAACTAAAACCAAAACCTACAAATATGAATCTTAAATTCTAAAATTAAGCAGATTCCAGTTATTTTTCTAATAAATTACATTTTGCTTTCAAACAATTCAGTGCTTATAAAACTACATCAAGATAGTCCATGTAGTTTTCACTGACTACAAAATTTCACTAACAACTTGTCCAAGTGAAAAAGATGAGATTGCTTCATTCTTTAAGTGAATGGCAGTTTTTCAACGCATTTTACTCTAGGTATTAATTTGAAACTCACCTTTTAATGGCTTTTGGCAAGATCCACTAATGAGCCTGAGAGATCAGGTGTGCTCCAGGAAAGAAGTGGTAAGAAACTGTCACAGTCTCACCCTGTTTTCAGGAGTCATATTTAGTCATATATGTATAAATGTAGTGCTAATGATACTAAAAGAAGGTATACCTTGAAGTGACTGATGAAAAATGATACGGAAATTGTAATTCCTTAGTTACTAATTAACATAACCTAGCATTTCAACTTTAAAAAAAATGACAGAGAGAGGCATCTTGCTTGAATATAAATATCTTGCCCTAAATGCAACCGCACACAAAGCTTATCATTGGTAACAGATTTCAGATTTCTTATCTCAAGGCCAATACTCTATATTTGGGTCATTTCCTCCAACCAGAATATGTCAGTTTTAGTGCTTGTCATTAGAGAAGGTAGGGATATAGTGTTTGAAGCTTAAAAGGCAGGGAGGTCATGTTGCTCCCAATTTAGACTGAATGTTGCTACCCACCAAAAACTGTGTGTTAAAGTCTTAGGTTTAGTATTAGTTAATCATCACCCTGTAAAGGTTTATGGCTAAAGAAACTGATGTCCCTCCTCTACTTAACTCAACCTGGACAGATTTTTGAGTACTAAATAGTATTACTTATTCTGTATGGTTATCCAGAACATGTATCTCTATCAGAATTGAATAATATTTTCATGCGCATTCAGAACAGATTAATTTTAAGGAGTTTAAAAAATATTCAATTTTTGTCATTAATATTTTGTATAGTAATTGTCTGTTTTCCTGAAAAATGGCATTTCTAGACTTAAAATGCTTCCTCTGTCACACCGCTTCCATGAGTCATAAGTTTGTATCATGGATTTAACTGGTTTGGGGATTTTTTTCTCTATGGACAGCCAGCTCAAAAGTTTCTTTCCATATTTATTAAATTTTCAGCAAGGAAATAAAATTTTCTGCTGAACTCCACAGTTAATACATAAATAAAAGTTTAAAAAATAAATGTTGGCAACATCATTATGAGAACAACCTTCTTTAAAAGGCATTTTCTTCACTGCTGTGGTGTTTTGATTAGAAAATTGTGATTAATCTCTTTCTAGTTATGGCTCCATAAAGTTTAGTGAACACAGTCTTTCCAGATAAAAAATGGGAAGTTGTTTTTAGTGATTAGCATTCGGGATCAGAAGGACCTGGTATCTTGGATGTGAAGATAGCACATCTTTTTCTGTCACCAGGCTGGCTGTTGGTACTTTACATCTGGTATCTTGTTTTGGGTTTCAGAGGGACCCACAGCATTTTTGCCATGCCCAGAGCAGGGTTGTTTGCAGGACTGCAGCTGCCAGCATCTTATCCAAAACATGCTACTTCCTGGTAATTTGGAGTGTTTGTCCTGTAATTCCAGTTTAAAAGCTAAGACAGAGGGCTAAACTGAAAAAGGAAGGGTTGATAGGTACAGAATTGCAATGTAAAAGTATCCAAAAGTCCTGATCAGGTTCCATGAGTGAAGATCTATAAAATTATTTCTTCAATCTAATGTTGCTGTTTCGACTGATAATGTTATTTGGATTCTGACATATATGTTGGGAATCTAATGTTGCTATTTTGACTAATAATGTTATTTTGATTCTGACCTATTTGTTGGGAGAGTATGTGGAACAGATCTTCCGGACTAAATCCTATCCTGGCATATAATTGGCATAACTCCGTAGTATAAAACAGAAAGTTACTTAAAATGAGAACTGTCTTAGTGTCTACATCTTGGTACCCAGCCCAACTACAGTATTTTGTGTATGCATAATGGTGCATAGATCCAAGACTCCACAAGTATTGAATCTGTTAGAAGGAACTGGAGCAACAAAGGCTTATTATTTCTGTGCTCTCTGAATGAATAACAGCAGATAAAATGTGGTGATACACATAGTATGCTGTCAACAGTCAGCCATAGAACAAAGTAAATTAATGAGTTAATTCACTTTTGCCAACATAGTTCAGTAAAAAAACATATAATTCAGTAGGTTTTTTGTTAAATCTGGCTCTGTCTCTGCAGTTTGTAGTGTATTCATCTTACTTAATGTTTCTAGTGTAGGAAAGTAGGTAGGAGAAGGCTTAAAATAAAGAAAAATCTATGACACTCAGGCAGTTATCACTGTGAAGAATGTGCAAGCCAAGACTGCTAAGAATAAGCTAAAGGGATGTTGTGTGATATATATACAAATTGAGAAGAAACAATGTGGATAGTCAAAGTTTCTGATTTTCCAATATTAAGCTCAAATACACAAATAAATGAGCCAACATGAGTGAATTGCCAGGCTCCTTAAATCAGAACAGCTTTTTAAAGACTTTGAGTAAGTCATCAGACACAATTAAGTAATTCCTAAAACTGACTGAAGTCAGTACATGAGAGTTCAGAGAGCCTGACTACAGTTTGGCTGCTCCAAGAATCTCTTAAGACAGTGTTCAGATTTATGATGCCTAGTTCTGACTCAGGTCTCCTAGAAGTCAGCTGCATTTTTTGTTTCTTGTGCCCAATACTTACCACTTCAGGGAAGAAAAAATTACTTTTAATAGGAGTTTGCCTGTGTGCGCCATTGTTACTGGATATGAGTAGAAAAACAAATATCACTAGCACAGGTCCTAATTTTCAAGGCAGTGAGTATATCTCTTAGGCTACTTAAGCTTCTAACATGGGAAGAAAACCTACTGAAAAATGTATCATAACAGAATTTCTACCTGATAAGATTTGCTTTGAAAATATAACACAGGCATGTTTCCAGAAGAAAAACAAAAAGAGTATCGTAGGATTATGCCACACAAGAGCAGTACAGCTAATGCTAAGAGCTTATTAGGCATCAGCAACACCTCTTAAAATAGGAGCCACAAGAGGTGTATAACTATATAAAGGATGGTTAGAAACACTTATGAGTGAAGAATAAATTGCTAAAACACCTTTCACTTTTGGACTCTGAAGAGATTGTTATAAATAGTGGGTGGAGGGGAGGAACCTTATTAAAATTATGAATTACAGAAAAGATAGGCTACAGATGGCGTATCTTCTCTTAGTGCTTCCATAACAAGGAAGGGCACAGCAGCAGCTCTACTTTCCAGCAGTAATTGTTTTCAGTATGAGGTCTTGTTAGTAGGTACCTCCAGGCTGATACAGCTGTCCTGTAACCCCCACCCTCACCAGCTGGGCAGAGCAACTGTATCTCGCACATGAAGTCACAGAGAGGCTGTAGGGATGTTCTTCAGGTTATAATTTGAAGGCCTTCTGGGAAACATGGCATGAGAGACTAATGCATGTGATTGAAATTCGGATTAAAATTATACTTCCCTTTGCATTCCCCTTCATTTCATGTTTTAAAGGCTAGACTGGTTTACACTGATGCTTTATGAGCAAGTTTCTGGAAGATGTGCATCCACTGAAGCATGAAGAGCCTTCAGCAGTAAAAAGTACTTGTAATGTGTTTCTGCTACTGAACTGCTACTTTTGGTATATACTATAGGGAGTTAGTATATTTTTAAGAGGTCCGTGGTAGCTACATAAGATGCTCAGAGTCGAGCAAATGTATTGCTTCATTAGTTTGATTGCATTTGCTTTCCAGCAGACAACTTTAAGCCAAGGCACTAGCTGTACCACTCTATCCCTTTGCTCTTATGCAAGAAGTCAGTAGGCAAGGGTGAGTTTTTGAAAAACTAGCATTTTATAATACCATTAAGAAGAGCTCGAGTGCACTATGAAGCAGTGCAGTCTCCTAGAAGTGCAGGAAGGTTTGTTTTCAATCGCTGTGAAGAAATACTGGGTTGAATTCAGATATCCAGCTTTCTGAGCAAGTACAATAAAACCCAGGCTTCTCCATTAAAAATGCCAGTAGCAACTTCATTACTGCTGATCATGCACTGAAAGAACATTGCAAACAAAATAGAGATACTTAGCCAAATGGGCTTTAATATGATAAACAGCACTATGAAAACTTTACTCAGACAGTACATAGTACAGCAAGAGGAATTAGCATGTGAAAAGTCTTTAATACTAATTACATCAGCTCCAAAGCTATTAGCAGTGTCAGCAGTTACAGCAGTTTTGTTAAGTTAGTCTGCTAAAATACTCCACTTCTGAGGAGTAAGATTGCATAATATATGATTCTGGTTCCAGTAACATGAAGAGGAATTTCCCTGTTCAATTCAATATTGCCATAATTTGATTCCAGTACTTTCCATATCCTCAAGTTTCCAATATAGCAGGTGTTCTCATACAAAGGAAATGATGTTTTAGTCCTCCAGAACAAGCTTTTGTGTTACTTCTCTAATAAGGAGAAAAAAGAAGGGGAAGACATGCTATACTCTTCCTCCTCAGTGCTCATCATTACTGCTAAACACCCTGGTAACACAGGTGAGAATTATCAAGTTATCAGGACTGATAAATACTTTAATACTTATTTTTCCTTTCTTTTCTTTTTTTCTTTTTTTTTTGGGGGGGGGTGTATTTTATTTTTTTTTTCCATTTATATTGCAGAATTGCCTTGGAAGAGGATGTTGGCAAAAATTAAGAAAGGTAATTATGTTTGCATTACAATCTAAGGCTCTTATACAACAATAAGGGATTTAGCTTCTTTTGGTAAATTCTTTATGTAAGCTACCAAAAGCAATCAAAACCAGCAATGTCAGACTGTAAGTGAGTTCTTACTCCTAGTCTCCTTTTGTTTTCATCAAAGACTTTGAGGACAGTTGTGGTCACTGAAGATGGTAGCTGCGATCTCTTCTCCCCAAAATATACACATCATGACACTTTTTTCCTCTTTTTTCAGTAAAGAGAAAAGGACTCTGCAAAGATTCAAGCAATGGATAATTAGCCATGATGTGGAACTCTTATTGTGTGTTTAGAGACTTACCTAAATGCTTCCTCCATTGTTGGATAAATAGGAAAAAATCATTCTGAAACAGAACTTTTCAAGCATTGCCTGAGTAGGAGCTAACAGACGTTAGGGCAGATCTCCTAATTACACATGAAGTCATGGAGCAAGTTTCTCATTCCTGAAGGGGCAGACTGTTTAAAGAAATTTAAATGCCAGATACCCAGACTTCCTAAATAGCCAATGCTTAAGCACTGAGAATCATTTGTCTGAAATACTGTTGGTCTGTTCAATATCCTTGTTAGGAACATAGGCTACCTTAAGTTTGACAATAGAGCTTGTGAAGACTCATTCCACCCTTTCCACTTTAGAGACTTACCTGGATTGGGCCCAGTGCTGGTACGCAGAGTTTTACAAATACAGACTTGAATACATTTTTTCACAAGTCAGCTCGTCTTTCTCTGCTTACGCTCCTTCATCCCTCCTTGAATTGCTATGCATTTGACTCCTCACAGAAATACTAATAACTTTTGAAATAGATTAACTACTTTATCTTTGCAGAATGGTCTTTGTAGTATTTTAATATAGGGAGCAGGGGAGAAAAAGGGGGAAAAGAGTGAGCGAGCAGCTGAGTGGTTCTGAGTTACCAGCTGGGCTTAAACCACAACAGATGATTATTCTCTTTTCCTGTTTTCTACTGTCTTTCCCGTTCTTAATGCATTAAAAAAAAAAAAAAAAAAGTGATTCCATGCTATGGAAGTTACTACAGTTGATTTTCTACAGATGCTGTAGACATTTGGCACTACTTCTTTTAAGGTCTGACCCTAGTTCCCTGCTTTTAAAGACAAAACAGAACGTATCCCGTTAAATTCAGCTCATGGCTATCGTCAACATCGTTACATGTTTACTATTGTTCATAGTAATGTAGTCTTGAATATTGAGTCTCTGGAGAAAGACATGGCATTTAGAAGGATAATACTAGTTTATGTAGTTAGGATTATATTGCCTTCATGACCTCTCTCTCCAAAAGTGGCTATAATAGCTCAACTTATTTGGACCTAATTTCCTTTTTCTGCAAGAATGATTTTAATATTAAGATTTTCTAAATGAAGAACAGCTGGTTTTAAGGATATGTCATAATCCTGTAGTCTACATACTCTTATTATTATCTATTTAATAATATTTTTCTTTTGCTTCACAATTTAAAGCAATGTTTCATGGAAGAATTGTTTCTGTAGCTCCTATTGTCTGTGAGCTCCTAATAGATGGTATATGGAATAGATATCACTCTGATAGATTCTTGCCTGCTACCTGTCTGCATAACCATCTCATTTTCATTCTGAGCTGAAAGCCCACCTTATACCTTGTCCATACCTTTCATATTTGTTCATCTATCTGAACTTAGTGTTATAAATCAAATGCAGCACAATAGGTGCTGAATTTGAATAGTAAGAAGCATGAAATACCTGAACAGTAGAATACACTAAGTGGCAGAGAATGAAATTTTAGTGAAAAATCAAAATTAAGCTCTCCAGGAGTGCTTACAATAGTTGATTTTGTTACTTTATACATACAACAATGTTTTAATGGTTTAATTTTTCATGAGATCTCTGAAAATTACATTTCATTGTTCATGAAGATTTATAATAATTGAAACACAAGAAATTGACAGTTATTTCTTGGAAAAACGTTATGAGGTATTATAATATTCTATATAAACATATGGTGCTTATCAGATGAATTTAATAATATTCTAGCAGTTTTTTAATACATACTTGATAAACCAGATGTAATAGGATCAACTTCCTTGCAACTCCACAATCTACTCCAAAAATGTTACGAACTTCAATGGAATAGAATCATAGAACAGTTACGGTTGGAAAGGACCTTAAGATCATCTAGTTCCAACCCCCCTGCCATGAGCAGGGACACCACACATAGTAATTTTTATTAAAATAGCAGCCCTCTGCACACCGTTTTAGTCTCAATATTCTATCAGGTTTCACAGGTAAGGCCTTTATATGTCATGTCTGATACGACTGTCCTATACAATGGCTAAATACACTTCTCTCTGCAAGTCAGCTCAATCGAGAGTCATATTTCAAAGTATCTGCTAGTGAGAATTGGAGGATACCTCTGAAAATATTTGATTATTGTTTTCAAGCATACAAGTTTGAGAAAAAGTTGAATATGTTGCGAAATTGGCATTTGGGGATTATTGTATGGCTATGTGGTTTTCTCCTCCGCCAGAAGCCATGATATCATGCCTAGATATTCAGTCAAATGACGCAGTATTCATTTGATAACTTTGTTTTGGTTGACATTGTAGTTACTGTGATTGCAAACTAGGAACTGGGACTGAAAAATGATTGTAAGAATAGTTGCTCTGTCTCCTGGTTTCCTCTATCCTCTAATAGCAATAGACTGTGCCAGACAAAATGTTAGATTTTTTTGTTGTTCTTTTTTTAGTACTATTTCCTTTTTCCTTCTATTTTGACACTGCTTTCTGTATAATTCACACTAACACTGACTAAAATGACTACATAAATGACAAGAATGTGTGCTTAGATTCAAGTGATCCAGCTGAGATTTACATCTCATTTTATTTCAGAGTAAAAACTAATTTTCATCTTAGAGCTTTAACGTAAGAGGACACTTAAAGGAATCATTAGTCCTTCATTTGCAAGATATAATTTACCAGCTACTTGAAAAGACAATAAAAAGTAATAAAAATATCCCTTTAATGCTCCAGCATAATAATGCAATGTTATATATAGAACAAAAGCAGTACAATGAAACAGCAGTTATTTTACAGTTGTTCTTTAGTCCAAAGTTACAAGTTTATTTTGTAAACTTCCTCCAGTTCTATTGTTGTCTTGGAATGTGTGTTGATTTTTTCTTCCCCCACCCTGTTCATCATTTACCATTGTTTGTAGAAAAGCCCAACTTCTGCTTTCATGAGAAAGACCCTGGAATTTGCCGAGGCTATTTTTCCAGGTACTTCTATAACAAAGAGACAAAGTTATGTGAAGTATTCAAGTATGGTGGGTGCCTAGGAAACCAGAACAACTTCAAGAATTTGGAAGAATGCCAGACTACCTGTCAAGGCCACTGTAAGTTGCTGTCCGCATTAGTTTTATTCTTGTATAAACAATACTGCATCTTATACAATATTATACAATATTGTATCTTGCATGGAAAAAAAGGCAACATAGGGTACCCTGAAGTGGCCATAATTTATATTTGGAATTAACATTAATTATATATACATTTAAAATAAAAAATATAAACTAAACCAACTGGTAGGTACTATTAACTGTAATTAGTATTAGAGGGGTTTTTACAAGTTTTTACTTATGACAGTGAATGTAAAATCTGCCAGCCGCTTGGCTTTGTGATATCATAAAATGCTAATTTATTTTTTTTTAACCCGTACATCTGCATATACTCTTTCCAGACTAAGTCTTGTCGTGAAAAGAGGTGCCAGTATAGGGATTCCTTATTGTGCATCGCTAGCTTCCCACCAAAGTGTCATGGGAAACCTGTCCCTCACTTCCGAATGATTTGGATGTGCAACTCAGGCTACAAAACAGCGATTCAGACAGACCATAGATCTTCATCCACTTTCTTGTCCTCCTAGTCCTAGTTCCTGTGAAATGCAATCTGACGTAACACCTCCACATAAATTTGTATAAATACCCAAGAAGAAAGAAAGGATTAGGGGCCATTGCCATAGTTTAAATAGATCAAAGTTTTTACCTTAGTGATATTGAATCATTGGTACCAATTTGGGTTTGCATTTTTTCCTTATTGTTTTCCTTTTGTTTTTCTTTTAGCAAATTTATTGCCAATCATTCCACCTGAAGAGCACCCTAACACTGTGAACAGGAGTTCCCTGGTAGAAGAACCCAACCAGTTCCCTGGGATTTTTGGTAAGAATTTGCTTTTGCTGATTATAGTTATCCTTCTTTATTGCAGATGCTCCGTCTCCACTCATTTTCCCATTTATTTGAAGATATATATGTTATTTGAAATCTGTAAGCACAGTGAAGACAGAAACATTAAAAATAACTTCATAACCATTTTCTTGTTAGTAATACATATTTTGAAAAAGGCTTACAATTGCAAAGGTTAGAATGTCTCCTAGTTATATAAAAACAACCTTACCAACCATGTTTGATTTAAATCTTTCATTGGTAAAATTAAAGAAGAAAAAGGAATCTGTCCCAAAGATACCTCAGCACATGGGTTTCCTACCCCTTTGGGACTTAAAGAAATGCTTGCTGCCTTTTAGTAGTATTAATACTGGTATGGAGCAAGGCAAAAGGGTACCAATCGTAAGTTATTTTCAGAGCTGTGTTGTGTCCAGATAACCATCACTTACGGTTTCACACACAACTCTTTTTTTTTCCCCTTTTAGTAAATTTGTTGCCAACTGCACCAAATGAGAAGTCCAACAGTCTGAACAGTAGTTCCCCAAAAGAGAAGAGCAACCAGTTTCCCATTTTTTTTGGTAAGAATCCACTTTTGCAATTCTTAGCTCTTAGTCTTTTATGTGCCCTCTGGGTTGCTTTTCCATTTCTACTCATTTTCCAACATACTTGAGACTAAAGAATGGGCTTCCATCTATGTCAAATGTTTTCATATGTAGAGAAAGTCAAAGATATATTGCTACTGAGAGATCTTACATAAATATCAGAAAGTGGAAGACTGACCAAATCTTACGCTCTTCTGAAAGTGTATTTCCTGAAGGTCTAATAAATACAAAAAGAGCAAAAGCAGTGATGCAGAGTTCTTTTAGTCAAAATTAATACTTTTGTGAGGGTCTAACTGGCAGCTGATTTAAAGCTCCTCTTACCCATTTAAAAAAAGGGACCATATTTGGATTTTGGGATATGGCACAGTATATTTATCATACTACATTTTCATTTTCACTAAGATAATCAAAGTGAATATGAATAAATTTTGTGTCTGCTTCAAGGTATTTTTGCATTATGTATTATAATGTAGATGGGACCTGTGCTGTAGAGTGCTGGGTTTTAACAGTTTCTGCATCTGGATGCTGTCCACTATAGATTGCTGGTACTTGCTCACGCTGTGAAAGGTGATTGAATTTGAGGCATGTCATTTCTGATCCACAGTTATGCAAGAGGAAACAACAAACAGTTGGAAAAAGCCTGAGCGTTCTTACCAAGTATTTCTGTTATTTTTTTGCATTTACACTTATTTGTACTTTTGGGGGTTGTGTGATAACTTACAGACTCATTAAGGTTTTTGTGTTTTATATGATCTGTAAGATAATGGGCATGTAAGATAACATTCCTGTGGTTTTTGCTTGGAATGGTATGTCTAATAAAGCTTGAATGTGCGTTGTATTCTATTTTTTGTTTGCACTGTGATCCATGTTTACTGTTGGGTTGAGGTAAGTTTCTGTGATAGTTGGATTGTTCACTTACCACATACAAAGCATCAATACACACTGTTATTAAAATGACTGAATATAAACACAGTAAAGCTTTTGACAGATTATTTTACTGAAAAATATTTCACTTATTTAAGGCCTGGTAGTAAGTCTAGGGACATAAAAGCATACATGTTCCCTGAAGGTTGTGACTCATAATATGAATCCTCAAAACTAATCTACATAAGCAACAGGGCATGATTGACTGTTTTCTCAGAGGAAATGGAAGGGTTCTTGGTTTTGTCAGCAACAGTGAATTTTCTGGTACAGCAAATTTTTGGAGGGAGAGATTAGGGTAAGAGAAAGAGAAGATTTGAAGGTTAGTGGAAGAAAGGGTCTGGGAACAGTGGTGGGTGGACTCACTGTAGCTTGGAAGGACCAGTGCATTTCAGTGGAAAGTCTGAAAGCCCCACAGGTTCTTCCCTACTATATAACCTTCTTCTGTCTTGCACTAGCTTGCCATGTGCAGCCAACTCCTGCTATTCTGTTTATCAGCCTGTAGCTTTCAGGCTGTTGGGATGAGCTAAAGTCTTGTGCTTTTGTGCCATCCCACTACAGAGGGAGGAAAGTATAGGGCCAAAACCAACAGGTGTTTTTTCCACATAGACTTGAAGAACATATCCTCCATTCCTGGTATTAATAGAGGCAGAGATGTAAATTGAAGTTGTAAAGTAGAGCCATCTCACACAAACATGCAGTGTGACTCTCCCCTCAGTGAGACAAGTATCTACTGGTGTACATAGGAGGAGTGGCTGATGTCCATCTTCTCAAACACACTCAAAGTCACTGGTCTGCCACTATAACATCTATTTTGCATGCATATTGGCCTGGCTATATATCTTTTTTTTTTTTAAATACATGACCACCATTAAAAAAATTTTGCAAGAAGTCGTGTTTTATAGAATACCTGACCTCACAACTGAAATGCTATTTCATCTTGATTTCAAGAAAAAAAAACATATTATTGGTGGTATGTGTAAATCTGACATCAGATTATTAAACTTCCAGTAACGTTCTTGATCTTCAGAAAATTAAACTCTTCTTTTGGCTAAACAAAACATCTTTTTTTTCCTGCATATAAACATGAAACTTACAATGCTGTCTCTCAGCAATTAACTTTCTGCAGAGAATGATAGTTTTCCTGGTCTTACTCTGCTGCAAGATCTAAAATAACTTCTATTCTGGGAAAGTTAAGAGACAGTGAAGCCAAGAATAAAAGGTTTCATTTTTAGATTGTACAAAGTGTTCTGTGGTATGAAATTACGAAGTGCTATACTTTACATTTGATTTGTGAGATCTAAGTGGGGTGCGGGATCAAAAGTCATTTCAGCAAATAAGGAATGGCACACAGAGACATTATAGGGCCATATCTTTTGCTGATATAAATTGACATAGTTCTATTTGCTGCAATGGATCTGCTGTAATTTATACCTATAGAGTACTGTCAAGTGCAGATGACTCATTATTTTTGTAATAGTTTGTCTACCTGAAGATTCTTCTATTTTCTCTCTGTCGCAACCAGAAATGAGATACTGAAGTCTATATATATCAAAACTCTGGCAATAAATCTAAAGCTTCTTGAAAGTCACATACCCGTGTCTAGCGAAACAGAATACAGTAAGCATTGTTCCTCATCCAGATCATTTCAAACTTATTTTGTGCTGTGATGAATTAATAGTTCTTTGTCACACCACTCCAGATAATCCTGAAAGATAATGATTAATGTTGCAATGCAGAGTTGGGATTATTTTGATAAACGTGAGTCTATATCTGAGTACGTATGTTTCAGAGATTCCGAAGTATGATCAGGTCATCTTTTCACACCACAGAGAAGCGTGCCTGGGATTCATGAAAATGCTGTATCATACGAATTGAAGTATGAATGTTTAGAGACTGTTTAGGTAGCAATGAAGGTTAAGGTACAGAAGTCTCATAGGTAAGAACAATAGCCTACTTTTTGTCTACTTTCATTATTTCATATAACTAACTAGTTTACCTATTTTTTTCCCAGAAGCAAAATAGTAAATATTGCAATTTTGGTCTTATTCTCTCACCAAAGCAAAATCAGTCCAAACATCTGCAAATTCAAATCAAAAAAAGTAACATGAAGATGAGGTAACAGAAAGATCTACACTGTATTTTGTTGTTGTAAAACCTGAAATTCATTTGAGAAGTCCCTGCAGAGCTAGTGGGGGAGTTCCAGTTCCCAAGCTCCACTTAAGATGTGTTCCAAGATCTAATCTCCTTCAAAAGTTTTTGATGGAATTGGCATGTTCCTGAGGAACTTTTTGTATTTCACTGTACTGGCATTTTCCAGAAGAAGACTTTACACCTGGAAATGTTTGACTAGCTCAGCTTGGAAGCTTTCATTTGTCTTTTGCCTGTATGAATTGTAAATTTTTTTTCCCCATGCTTCTTCATGACCTGGCTCATGATGAATATATTTTGCAAATAACATACATAGCAAATCTGAGTTTATGAGCTTGCTATTGGGTATTTAAACCCAGTTTCAGTCAGGTATTTTGGATAAACAGAATAGCATGAACACAGGGGTGAAGCCAGAATCTTAAGGCTTGTTGCTGTAAATGCAAATAACCAGTTGGTTTCTGTAGAAATCATATCAAAGGCCAGAGGATGGGCCATGTAGTTGCATGTATTAAAAAGTTAGAAATCATTTAATGACATCTGTTAATTTTCAGGTTCATATGATCCACTTGATGTTAGCATATAATAAGTTATGTAATGTAATGGGTAGTGCTACTTGCACTGTGAAAAAAGTTTGATAAAATGTAATCTAAATTGAGAAAAAAAGTAGAGTTACAAACAGCATTTCTATCTCAAGTAGCCTCTCAATAAAACTGATATCTGTAATTCATAAATTTGCAATGACTAGGTTGGGGAAAAAAATTCTGATACTAGGACATGTATGGATGATTTTTTAATTTTTTTTTTTACTGTTTTCAGTGTGCACCCTTCCTCTCTGTGTAGTTTTGTGGGTTGTGGGTTTTGCTGCTTTCATTTTCTCTTTTCCTTCATAGAAAAAGCAAGAGATAAAACAATTCAACAACACTCAGTAAAATGAGGTTGTAAAACCAAATCATTTGAGAGAGAAACTCAAAAACAGGCATAATATCTAAACACACTGTAACAACGTATGTATAAGCACAGCATTAAAAGCTGGGGCTGATAGATTGTCCTGCCAGTCTAGATGTTGGGCTGGGCATGACGCAGTATGTATTTTTTGTTTACAGTAACTTAAAGATAACAGGTCTTTTACTGATCAGAATATTAAAATCAATTCATAATTTTTATGATCCTTGGCAGACAGGAAATTATGATAAGTAATTTCATTTTTATTTTAATATATATTTCAACTATACATATATAGTTGAAAAACACAGCTGCTGTATGGCAGTTAAGAGATTTTCTTCACGGGCTGGTTGCTTCTGTGGTTATAAAGACTATGCAGATATTTTCAAGATGGACAGGACTAGCATTTACTGTCTGGGACATTTATCTAGCAATGATCTAGACAAAGAACAACGTAAGTTCTAGAGTACATGAAGGATACTGGATAGCATTTGGATACTGCTATGCCAGTTGCATTATATGTACATAGATAATCCTTACTACTAACCACCTTGTTGGCTCCGTGACTCCCCTAAAGCTTACGGTTCTTGTGAGAAGTCCTTCCTGAAGGGACTGTGGAGTCTTTGGAAACTTCTACATACCAGATAAGTAATTTGCATTACAAAGTATGTACTTAAATTCCATTGTATAATTAAAAAACCTGTGCTGTTTGGCCCTTTCCTTCTTGGCAAGCCTTTCTGCTTTGTTCTTTTAAGGTTCAGAAATTATCAGGTTAAAATAGGTAAGCATTTATTTTTTAATGTTGCTGGACATGTATTTTGAGAACTCTCCAGCTAGAGAGATTAAAGTAATTCTAGGTATAAGAGTTCTCAGAGTGGTACCAAAAGCACCGCATTGCTTAATTTAACTGCCATGTTCATTGTAAATAAAAGACTAGTTTTAATATCGATTGTACCACACTGTGGGCTCTTACTCTGGATCTGGGGTGAACCTGTCTCTTACAATAATGTCACAATTATAACAAGAAATAGTGCTCATTTTATAACCTGAAACTAATTTAATCTAACTTGAAAAAACAACTCACAACTCAATTTTTGTATTTCAAGATTCTTTTTGTATAGTATGATGATACTAACACAGCTTCTTATTATTAATTTTATTTTGCTGTCTTACATATCACCATGCTATTTCTTTCCCAGCAGTTTTTCTTACTTTCTTACCATGCCAGTTTCAGCTATTATGTTTGACAGATGAACGTTTTTCAGCAGGTGTAACGTGTAAGACGTGTCCTGGGTTCAGCTTAAACCATGACAACATGTAAGATGTATCATGTTCTTTTTTGGATATTTTCTTGTCAGCCTCTTGAATTGGCCAGCTTAATTCAAAACTTTTGCTTTCAGCAACTTATCTGCTTCCCACTTCTGTGACAACAGGGTCTCTTCAGCTCTGCGGTAACCCAAATTATTCCCTCAAGTATTTACTTGTTTTTTCTTCTGAACCACTTCTACCTAGCTTTGTAACTTCAAGAAGGCCATCTGACTAGCTGCACATTCCCATTTATGCACTCAGATCTCAGCTATCTCAGTTCTGCTACTTCTTGAAGGGAAATGGTGCTCCTTTAGGTCCCTCATAACTGATGGCTCCCATTCAGTATCCTGCATCCTGTGCAGCAATTGTATCAGTTGTAATTTTGTATATGAGTCACTCCAGGGTGATAGATGATGGAGTTTCTCCAGGTTTGGGAATTCTGGCATGGGTTTGTTTCTTGAGCTTGTGCCAGTGCCTGGGTACTTTGGATACCTCAGGCTCACCTTCCAGTGTTCCAGTTCTCAGACTCTCACTTGCAGCAACACTGAAGAAAGAAACCATCAGCCTGCTCCTTGGAATGGTAAAAACCTAACTGCAGCTTTAAAGCACGAGCATCTCAAGTCACTTTGTGCACTCATTCTTCACGTTCAATCTTTTGTTATTCTGCAAGTTACAAGCTATTTCTTGATAATTGCTCAGTGTTTTCCAGTAGACCAACTTCTGTTACTTAGGTCAAGCTTTCTGTATTCATGACAAACCTAATATTAAGGTATTGAACCTTACTCTGGAAATGCTGGGTATTTTTACCTTCTACTTGATTTCAGAACGTCTAGCAGTAATGAACTCATAACTTATCATAAATATTTACCATATTTTTAAAGCTGACTAAGTTTATTTCACTTTCTACAAATACTTCACTTGAAACTTCTCTAACTGAATTTGAATAGTATGTCCTATCACTTAAATGGCAATTTTATCACTAAATATGTAGTAACAAACCTTGCTTTCAGCTAAGTTTTTGCTGGCTTCTGGAATTCAAAGAAAGAATAGCTTTTGCTGTAGTATTTTCTGTAATCATAAAAAAAGAAAGGTGCTTAGGTAACGTATCCTGGATCTTCAGGAGGGCAGAATTAAATTTGCCAGTAAATTTTATCTAAATTTCAAAGTTCCGTTGGCTTCAAATCTCATATGTTGTATCAATATAACAGAAAACTGGTAAACTGTAGTGTTGTCTCTAACCTTGTTTCTCTTGGTATTTCTAGAACCACCCCCAATCCCTTCTTTGTGTATGACCCCTATGGACAGAGGACTTTGTAGAGCCAAAGAGTTAAGATTTTTCTACAACTTCTCAACTGGAAGATGTCACACATTTAGCTACAGCGGTTGTGGTGGGAATGAAAATAATTTCACCTCCAGAAAGTCATGTTTGAGGATCTGCAAGAAAGGTATGGAGAGTGATTCTGCCACAGACTATCATAAGAGGTAAATGTTATACACGCTGAAATATTCTTGCAAATTTTGTCAGCAAGTATTGTCCCAATAAAACGTACTAGTTGAAAGTCTTAGAAAAGTGAAAATGGAAATCAGAGCTAGAGAGAGAAAGATGTACAGTAAAATACAGTGCACAAGAACATATATAAGACAACTTGGCATTGGTCAGGCATATGAAGGCTAGGTAAGACCATGTTTTCTTTTTTTAATAATATTTCTTCAAGACTTACCTCTTATTTCTGATAATTTTGGATGTGTTAGTCATACAGCATCTAATCTTTCTTCATTTTAACTTTAGGATTCAATAAAAAAAAAGGTGAAAGAAGATTAATAAAAATCAAGAAGAAAAGAAAGAAAGAGTCAGTAAAGGCTCTGGGCGAGTAAATAATCCCTGAAAGAATACAGCTTTGATTTTTATGGAAATGTGAAGTAAACTACTATTCACCTCTGAATGAAAGCCTTTAGTGTACACCTTTTAAATATATTTACTGTACTGATTATTTTGATTACATCATTATTAAGCTGCTTGTTTTTATTATGTATTCCTCATTCATGTTAATAAACGTAACCTTTTACTTTGATAAAGGCTCTTGAATTGTAGTTCCAATGTATATAATTGTCAGAGCTGGAAACAGGACAGAACAGACTGTGTGGGTGTATAACTCATGATTAAGAAGCAGACAAGATTCAAATTTACCCCAATATTCTTTTTTTGAAATCTATTTTTGTGCTAAAGAAAGCATAAAGCTTGTCAAAGAATGATCACTTGTCAAGTATGATTGTTTCAATCATAGTTTAAAAGATAGGTCTATTGCTATAAAGAGGAAATAGACACTGGGTTTGTTTTAATCAGATTTATCTTTGGTTATGCAAGCCAGATTTAACTCCATCAAAGTGCATATAACTACACTATTGTAAAATGAGTATGAGATCAGAATTAACCCACCAAAACCCACAGAGTGTTAAAGTTGTAAATGTGTGAAACAATGATAGATATTTGCAAAGATTTAAATGTGTATTTGCTGGGATCATTGATTTTTATCTTTGCTACTGAACTAGAGTCATGGCTAGCAAGTTAATAATTTCCAGAAATGCATACTAAATTTTTACAAAGCCCAGAAAAAATTGCCTTCATAGAAATAAATACAGTTGCTTTAGAGATTAACACTGTTGACTGAGGGGTTTATTTGGCTGGGTTTTGGTGGGGTTTTTTTAAGACTGACTTGAAACATGGGTACAATTCCTGCCCTTCTCCAAGGCACCTCTCTGATCTTAGGTAAAACTTTTATAGTGAGATTTTTTTAAGGAAAAAGAAAAAGAAGAAAAAAGAGGTGGTTGGTTTCCTATTAAGGCTTTTAGAAGCATCTTGCTACATATGAAACAAAAGACAGCAGGATATTTCTATTTATCTTTTAGGCTCAGTCCCTAGTGTACTGACAATTGAGACCAGAATGTTGTAGGCTGTATTGAAAGTGGTCTGATTACAATCAAAGATTTGATCTGAGTGTGCATGCTCTTCTTGGGGTGCGTGCTAGGTTTGGCCACCATACCAGTTATCCAGCTGTCTTCCTACTGTGTTTTCATATAGCTCTACAGTGCACTGAAGTAGTTTTTCCGATAAAAAGTCCAAACTGCAGTGTGACCTGATCCGATCGTCACCATCTCCACAAGAAATTTCCTGTGCCCTTCTCTTTCATTCACTTCTTTTAATTCCTGCGTTTCCAATATCTGTAGAAAAAACAAATGCAAGAATAAGAAAAAAAGATCTGTGCATTCTCAAAGATAATTAAAGGGTGAATGTAGAAGGGAGGATAACTGAGCCACAGTAGGGGGAGAAGAGAAGGACAGGGCAGAATGGTGAAGAGGTCAGGAAATGAAGCTATGCTAAGGTATTACAGAGACTGTACACCTCCTGTTACCTGGAGTCCATTCATCCAGTCATGTCATTCCAGAACCTGCTTTGGTTGCTTTGGAGAAAATACACAGGGATCCATGAGGTTTCTTCCACTTTGCATGATGGGAGTCAACAAGCTGAAGCAGTTTTATGGAGGTTTGATGAGTTTCCATGTATCAGCTGCCCTGCAGTAACTTGGTATGTGCCCTTAATCCATAAAAATGATGAAGCCAAATGTCCTTGAGAAATAATTCAGTCTTTTTATTAATTCTTTACTGATATGCCTTCCTTTTCCTGCTTTTTACTTCCTATCCCCTGCTTCTCAATTCCTATCCCCTGCTTCTCTCTTCTTTACAGTTCATTTGAGCCAGCTTTTCTCCTGGCATCTCCGATGCCTCTACTCTTTGAGAGCTGACAGATTTAGAGAAAATCTTTATAGATTCTACCTTTCAAACATGGTAAAGTGGATTATGTTTCATAGCTGGCTGCTTTCGGTTGCTTGTCTTGATGAAGAACCGGCTTCTAGCCAAGTGGAGTATACCTTTACGAAGCGTTTACACATGAACTCTCACTGTTCCGCTCGTAG